TTTTTTTTTTTTTTGGTACCGGGGATTGAACTCGGGTCCTTGGGCTTGCGCAGCAGGCAGAGAAACCACTGAGCTAAATCCTCAGCCCTGGGAGAAGCTCTTTCAAAGGGGAGGGAGAAGACATGCAGGGAGGCCCAAGCCGCCCTGCGTCCCCACCGAGGACTGCGCAAAGCCCTCGCGCGGTGAGGACCTGGGCAGTGTTGGCACACTCCTCCTCACTGACCGTGGCTAGCTCTTATGAGTGGGAGGAAAGCAGTGCACAGGAGCCCCCTGTACCCCTGGCGCACTGGGCCCCCCTTACCTGGGGAGCCGGTGAAGCCCTTGGGGCCCGGCAGGCCGTGCAGTCCGCCGATGCCACGCAGCCCTGGGAAACCTGCGAGGGAGACGGGAGGGAGGGCGCTGCTGCTGGGCCCCTGGGGACAGCCCAGCACGGTCCCTGACCGGGACTCCGCCCCTTCAAGGCGCTGCTGCCTGGGCCTCGAACTCACAGTGATCCTCCTGCCTCAGCCTCCCCAGTGCTGGGATTACAGCCCTGCCATATGTGATTTCTAAAAGCCTGCTTGGCACATAGCCCAGCATTATTCCCATTCCCTCCAAATGTCTGAGGATAAACATTTCTGGTTTTTATTTTTACTTATTTTTTTGAGACAGGGTCTCACTGTATATCCCAGGCTGGCTTTCAATTTGCAGTCCTCCTGCCTCAATCCCAGCCTCCTGAGAGCTGGGATTACAGGCCTGTGCCACCACACCCTGTGACACTGCACGAGGTGGCAGTATGTGGCTGGCCACAGCAGGTCTGGGGCTGACGGGGCCCGGCCTTCATTCCGAGGAGGCATGGAGCACTGTCCTAGGCGGCATGGTGCAGGTCCATGGCGGGGTCCTCTCACCTGGCAAGCCTGGCACACCGGGCCAGCCGTCGGCTCCTTTCTCTCCGGGGAATCCAATCTGCCCCGGGTCTCCCTGGGGGCCCTGCAGCCCTGTTAGTCCCGGGAAGCCTAGAGGGAAACAGGGTACTGGCTCAGGGCGCACAGACCGGAGAATAAAGCTTGTGGCCCAGGCACCCTGAAATTCAACAGGGTTAGCTCAGCCTTGCTAAGGAGATAGAAGTGCCTCTGTGTGTGTGTGTGTGTGTGTGTGTGTGTGTGTGTGTGTGTGTGTGGTGTGT